GGAAAGGTCTCGGGGACATAGCGATAGTATGGCTAACCAGGCTTTTCAATCTCATTTTTCGGGCAAACAAGATGCCAGAAGAATGGAGACGAAGTATATTAGTACCAATCTTCAAGAACAAGGGGGATGTTCAGAGTTGTACTAATTACCGTGGAATTAAGCTGATGAGCCATACAATGAAGCTATGGGAGAGAGTCATTGAGCACCGCTTAAGAAGAATGACAAGCGTGACCAAAAACCAGTTTGGTTTCATGCCTGGGAGGTCGACCATGGAAGCCATTTTCTTGGTACGACAGCTTATGGAGAGATATAGGGAGCAAAAGAAGGACTTGCATATGGTGTTCATTGACTTGGAGAAGGCCTATGATAAGATACCGCGGAATGTCATGTGGTGGGCCTTGGAGAAACACAAAGTCCCAGCAAAGTACATTACCCTCATCAAGGACATGTACGATAATGTTGTGACAAGTGTTCGAACAAGTGATGTCGACACTGATGACTTCCCGATTAAGATAGGACTGCATCAGGGGTCAGCTTTGAGCCCTTATCTTTTTGCATTGGTGATGGATGAGGTCACAAGGGATATACAAGGAGATATCCCATGGTGTATGCTCTTTGCGGATGATGTGGTGCTAGTTGACGATAGTCGGGCGGGGGTAAATAGGAAGTTAGAGTTATGGAGACAAACCTTGGAATCGAAAGGGTTTAGGCTTAGTAGGACTAAAACCGAGTACATGATGTGCGGTTTCAGTACTACTAGGTGTGAGGAGGAGGAGGTTAGCCTTGATGGTCAGGTGGTACCTCGGAAGGACACCTTTCGGTATTTGGGGTCAATGCTGCAGGAGGATGGGGGTATTGATGAAGATGTGAACCATCGGATCAAAGCCGGATGGATGAAGTGGCGCCAAGCTTCTGGCATTCTCTATGACAAGAGAGTGCCACAAAAGCTAAAAGGCAAGTTCTACAGGACGGCGGTTCGACCCGCAATGTTGTATGGCGCTGAGTGTTGGCCGACTAAAAGGCGACATGTTCAACAGTTAGGTGTGGCGGAGATGCGTATGTTGAGATGGATGTGTGGCCACACGAGGAAGGATCGAGTCCGGAATGATGATATACGAGATAGAGTTGGGGTAGCACCAATTGAAGAGAAGCTTGTCCAACATCGTCTGAGATGGTTTGGGCATATCCAGCGCAGGCCTCCAGAAGCTCCAGTGCATAGCGGATGGCTAAAGCGTGCGGAGAATGTCAAGAGAGGGCGGGGTAGACCGAATTTGACATGGGAGGAGTCCGTTAAGAGAGACCTGAAGGATTGGGGTATCACCGAAGAGCTAGCTATGGACAGGGGTGCATGGAAGCTTGCTATCCATGTGCCAGAGCCATGAGTTGGTTGCGAGATCTTATGGGTTTCACCTCTAGCCTACCCCAACTTGCTTGGGACTAAAGGCTTTGTTGTTGTTGTTGTTGTTTTCTTTCTTTCTTCATTTTTCTTTTTTGTCAAATTCATGACCTCTCCACAAATTCGTGAACATTTTTCAAAGTTGTTTTTATTTTTCCAAATTGATTTGATTTTTTCGAATCCTAGACTTTTCTCAAATTCGTGAACTTTTTCTAATTTTTTTGAATTTTTTCATATTACAAACTTTTATTTATATGTTTGTGAACTTTTTTTCAAATTAGTGTATTTTTTCTTTTTTAAATTACACACTTTTCGAAGTTGTGAACTTTATTAAAATCATGAATTATGTTTTGACATTCGTGAGTTTTTTTCAAACTCATGAACTTTTTCAAAATTTGTGAACTTTTTATAAACTCCGTGAAAATGTTTCTAAAAATTCACCGGTTTACCCTTTCAACTTTTTTTTTAAATCCTTGATTTTTTTTTCTAATTCATAAACTATTTGATTTTTCATATCTTTGAAGTACTATAGGTGAACAGGGAGAAATGTTCAACAAGAAAAGACTGTAGTGGATGACATACGAGGTACAGTCGTACAAGTGAAAGGTACAATAGTGGGACAATGCCCGATACGATCAATATGAAGGTGATGAATTAGGCCTCGCAGTAAAGTAATAGTACCCCTAAAAAGTAGTAGTATTTGGATCTTCACTTCTAGAACGGGAGTTGGTAGGCCGGCATTCATGGTTTATTTTCGCCTCACCTCTCCATCTTCTTTGAGTGGTTTTTCCTCGCCTCACCTCTCACCATCACCTCTGATCCACCAAAAAGCCCGTGCCTTTGCGTTTGTACTCGCGGTTTCCACCTCAACGATGCCCCGCACGATAAAAAAACGAGCCCACGCAGGAAAAAAAAAAAGCACCCCTCCTCCCATGTCCATGACTGAATGAATAACCTGCCTGGACTTTTTGGTGAGACCTGAAACACCATCGGCTGTAGATTTGATTCCGGCGAGGGATTGCACTGGACTGGGCGAAGGCCCGAGTGTCCTTCAATTTAGGGGTTCCCTGTTACTTACTTAAATACTACATTCTGCTGCAATATGAAACATGAATTGCGGGTGCGAATTAATGATGTGTTTTGATGAGTATTATTAGGTAATCAAACCAACTGTTTCCTCTTGCGAGGTCGTTTTCCGTGTTACTTGCATACTACATTCTGCCGCAAAATAAAACATTGCTCTTGCAAAGATCATGATTTAGCTAGCTTCAGCCACAGCGAGTTTATTTTTTTGCTGGATCAAAAGAATCATTAGTGCTGCTGCTGTGCATACGTCTGAGTGTTATGGAAATGGGCATAAGATGAGCAGATTGGTGCAGAAATTTACATCACAGGCAGTGCAGTACAGTAGAGTAGAGTTGTAGAAGCAATCACAAGCCAGCATTCATTCCCCTAGCACTCTAGCAGAGCAGAAATTCACAGTCTACAGACCAAAGAGTGCTGGAAAGTTGGTTTCTCAACATGTTGAAGGATGATTTGGTAACCATCATTCCATCACTATTGAAGTATTGATTGAAGCAGATAAAACCGGACAGCAGTTTACAAAGCTTCTCAACAAGTTAAAAGGCAAATGTCCTGTCAACAAAGTAACAGCGGCTAAAATTTGCTAGATAGATAGTAGATGCATACAGCAGCACAGCAGAAAACCAAATCCAGAGCAGACCGCCATACACCAGAGTTGAGTTTTACAAGCAATCACACGTAGCAGAGCATCAAGACAGTTCTCAACGAGTTGAAGCTTTCATTCCTCCTCTTGGGAAATGGATGATTTGCCATCTCCCCAGTAATTAACTACTCCAGTATCTAATCATTGAAATCATCAAATCAAAGCTGATAAAAACCACAGCTTGCAAAGTTTCTGAACCAGTTGAAGGAACGCCAATGTCCCCTCATCGATCAGCTCGCGCGCGATGACGAGAAGCAGGTGAAGAGGAGGACCAGGAAACCCAAGCCTAGGAAGGTCGTGGAGCAACCAGAGGACATAGAACCCAAGAGCAGCCCTGCTCCTGTTTTGCCTTTTCCGCCACCCATGTACCTGCCAGTGACCCCCGCTCCTGCGCCGCCCCCGCCCGTGATCCAGGAGGTGGAAGCCATAGGCGCCGTGGTGGCGGAGAGCGAGAAGGTGCTGGAGAAGCTGCAGAAGAAGGAGGCGATGATGCGCGAGGAGCTCACCAAGAGGGCCAAGGAGCTGGCAGGGAACCCCTCTCCGTGCACCGACGAGAGGGCGGGCTGCGCCGAGTGCTACAGGAGCAACGTGCAGGACCCGCTCAAGTGCGCCGAGGCGGTCAAGAGGTTCGAGGCTTGCGTTCGCATGGCGAGGCGGGGCGGTGCTGCCATGGGAGCTGCTCAGTAGTAGCGCTGGAGGAGGGGCTGCGGGTCGGAGCTGAGTGAGCGAGGTGTCGAGCACACGATTTTGCATCTGTCGGGATGATTGATTGAATAACCTGCCTGGATTTTTGGTGAGACCTGAAACACCGTCAGTTGTAGATTAATTCTGGTAACGGATTGCTACTGGTGTTGGCAACAAGAGGCCATGAGTGTTACTTGCATACATATTACAAAATGAAACATGATTTTGCAGGGTTCAAAATCAATGTCTACTGCATACGTTGTGCTGCGAAATTTGCAGGGTTCCTTGGATTTTAGCTCGTTTGTTTGGGATGAGTTTGAATAACCATTGTATGTTGATTCTTCCGTCTCGCATACATTGCGCTGCACTGCAAAATGAAATATGAATCGTGGGTGCAAATTAATGTGATTTAGCTTCAGCTGCAACATGTTTTTTGTAGCATAAAAGAAACCACCTGCTGCTGCTGCTTTGCTGGTTATTGGTAAAATCTTGTAACCTTATATTCATCCGTATAAGTCTGAGTGGTTGATTAAAAAATTTGTAACCTTACATACCGCCCCGTTCCTAAATATAAGTCTTTTTAGCGGTTCCAATATGGACTATATACGGAGCAAAATAAGCGAATTTACACTCTAAAATACATCCATATTCATCCATATGTGGTCCATATTGACAAAAAAAAATCATCTTGGTATACTCCCCAGTCTTTTGGTGGGCAAAAGATGGTTTGGAAGCTATTCAGATACAACAACACTGGGCTACATGACAGGAATGGTGTACACACCCAAAGGGCCAGCAGGCAGCAGCAAACCAGATCAAGATGAGATGGGCTCGGCCTAGGATGTTGATTCAGAGATGCTCCACTCGACGCCAGGCAGTAGTCGACCTACACCGCAGGCCCCGACTGCGGCACGGACGGTTCAGTTGTAGAAGCAATACAAGAAAATCAGGGATTAGGCCTATCATCATCCAAGAAAAGCCACAGTTGAAAAACTTTATTGAACAAGTTAAAGGCTAGTGTCTTCTCAGTTAACTAATAAACAAAGCAAAACAGGTAGATACGTAGATAGCACACAGACACACATCCTAACTTCTACTGAACCGAGGAGATTCGTTTGATTTGCATTACAAATATCTGAACTAGGTAGAGGCCAAAGCTCAACAAAGCCGATTGACCTGCCCTTTCTGCCTTGTTTACTCCTGCATGGACTGCCGGAGTTCAACAAAGCTCAACAAAGCTTCTCGACTGGTCTGCCTCCGCTCTTGAACCAGCCTTGGTATTTCATTCCATGTCTTCGGTTTAAACGCTCTTACTGCACATATCACAAATGACGTCAGAACAATAAAATAATGGAGAACAGACGTGCTGGCGTGGTAGATTTAATGGAATGGATGACTGCATCTGTTTATTAAATGTGGCAAAGATAGAAGGACGTGCTGCAAGCATACCTTCATAACGGGCATCTAGTCCTTTGATGGCAATGCTGCCCAGGCGCTGCTGCAGGCATCTAGGGAGCTTCTTTATAGCAGGGCAGCCTCTAATTTCAAGATACCCGAGAGACCTGTATACTTGCGGCTCATTCGGCAGGGATGCCAGGGTACTGCATCTTTCAAGATGAAGGTATTCCAGCGATGGGGGGTGCTCTCCCGACAGACACTCCAGCGATGTCAGCCCACTGTTGCCCATAATGAACAGTGTCTTGAGGGGTGCAGGCAGACGGAGAGGCCCACCCAACATGCCAGCAGAGTCCTTTATTCCTAGAGTATTGAGATGGGGAGGAAGTAAATGCTCTCTTGCAGTTGGTGCTGTTGCTGCTGCTAGTGGCTGTGGCATGATAGGACTTCTGCTTCTGGAGGTGGTGGCTTCTGGTTTCTGGAGCCCACCCAGCTGGCATGATAGGACTTGAATACTACTGCAGCCATAAATCCGTATGGTCTTTAAGGACAAAGGCAGGTTCAGAACCGCCGGTAAGCTTCCACAATCAGATAACTGTAGATATTCTAGGCATGGACAAAAGTGATTCATGGGTGAGGATGGCAACTCTGATACAGTTGCAGGGATGATTGCCTCACTGCTAGAAGATCCTTGGGCTAACTCTGCCATGCCCTGCTGCTTGCCGAATATGGACTCAAGCTTAATGCACCTATCAATATCCATTTTCTTGAGAGATGCCGGGACGTTGAACATCTCTACTAAACTTGGGCAGTTTTCTAAATAAAGAGACTCCAGACCTCTCAGGTGCTGACTCCTTTCAGACGCCAATGGCTCAAGAGGAGCTTGTGCATATCCAGTCAGATTTTCGCAGTTTGTAATCACTAATGTCCTCAAGGATACCAAGCTTTGGAACACATTCTCTGGCCAGTGGACGAGCACATCACATCTATCAATTTCCAACTTTTCAAGGTGTACAAAATAGTCCCACGGCTCTAGTGCACCTGGTCCAAAGAATGAGTTGCAGCATGTTAGCTCCATAACTGTAAGAGGGGATTTCTGGTTCCATTTCTCCTTTCTGTCCACCGGTACAATTGAAGTGCACTCAACCTCTGATGGTGTTTCTGTATTTTTTAGCTTCAGTATCAGATTGGTCAATGAGGACAAATATTTGTCCACAAACTGGAAGATCTCTTGCTTGCCATCTTCAATTTCTAACACACTGATTTTTGGTACCTCAGGTAAATCTATCAACATTGGGCATTGCTGAACTGATAGTTTCTCAAGCTGTGGAAAAAATATTTGTTCACCTTTGGCAGCACCATCCCATCTCTGAAAACTCCCCAAGCATTTCATTTTGAGCACCTTGAGGGCAGGAAAGGCTGAACGTACCAATCTATAACCACCTCCGCTACATGGTTCTTCAAGCAATGGTGCTTCAGGTAAATTTATCAGCTCTGGGCATTTCTCAATTGACAGTTCCTCAAGACAAGGAAACAATATCTGTTCTCCTTGAGTCTCTTCAGCTGCATTCCATCTCTGAAAGATCTCCAAGTTTTTCATTTTGAGCACCTTCAGGGCAGGAAACACTGAGCATACCAATGTATAACCACCCTCACCACAAGGTCCTCGCAGCAATGGTGCTTCGGGTAATGCTACCAACTTTCCACAATTGCTCATAAACAACTTCTCAAGCACAGGAAATATTGTCTGTTCTACTTGCCTCTCATCTATTTCCCACCATCCCTCAAAACCCAACAGATGGTCTAGCATAAGCACCTTCAGTTTTGGAAAAGTGAAGATTGTACTGCATCTAAACAAACATCGCAATCTTTCACAATGGAAAAGATGGATCTCAACCATGTTTTGCAGCATACCCATGCACTCTCCTCCATAGGAATATATCTTCAGAACCTGCAGCCCACCATGAGGTTCGAACTTGTCGAGCACCTTGCTGTCGCCAACCTTAGTCCATCTTAATGTCAGTTCACAGAGATCCTTCTTGTTTCCAAGATTCGCCACTTTTGCTTCTGCTTTTTCAACATTCTCTACCCGGCATAGCTCTAGCTGACCACCAATGTTTAGATTATGCAGCTCTCCAACATCAGCGCAATCAGGGCCAGGAACTCCTGCTACAAAAACTGTGAGAGTCTGCAGCTTAGTGAGATTTTCAAGTCCTGGAGGCATGCTCCTCAAAAACGAACATCCATGAGTGTAGAGGTGGCAGAGGGAAGTCATATACTTCATTTGCCTTGGAAGTCGTTTAAGATAACAGCAGTTGGAAAGGTCCAACACTTGCAGGTTATATAGAATACTTATATCCTCAGGAAGTGCTTTGATATAATAACTTGCTGAGAGATCAAGGTACCTCAGGTGATGCAGATACTTTGGTTTGAGTACAAATGATTCTGTGCCTCTAATACAGAGCTTCAAGGCGTGCAAAGAGCTATATTTTGATAGATGCTTCAATGAACTTTGCATAGGACTATCACATATGAGTGTTTGAATGGCAGGGGATCTTTTCTCCAAAGAATCATTCAAAATACCTTGTGTTTCTTCACATGATAAGAACAAATGCCGAGCAGTATCTGACAGCCACTCGATTTGACTTGGTTCCTTAATTGCAACGACACATTCCTTTCCCATAACAGACATTGCAATATCATGCATAAGATCATGAATTTTGCATGTAGTTCTGAAACAATACTGCTGATTTTGCATGTCACCCTTAAATTCCTCTATGTCCAGAAAGAATGACCTTGATGCTAGCTCACTGAAAATATGTTTTCCAACGGTTTCAAGACTATCTTCCTCCTGTTCTGGGATAAAGCCATTTGCGATCCATAGTTGGATAAGCTTCTCCACATTAATCTTGTAATCCTTGGGAAATATGGCACAGAAAGCAAAGCACTGCTTCATGTGTGCTGGCAAATCGTTGTAGCTAAGCTTGAGTATTGGCAAAATTCCAGTTTCCTCAGTGCAAATACTGCTTCTAGATGATACAGCCTTCCATTCTTCCACGCTGGTCTTGGTACGAAGTACAGATCCCAGTGCAGTTGCAGCTAGAGGAGAGCCACGGCATCTCTCCACAATCTCACCAACCATCTTGAGTAGCTTGGGAGGCTTTTTATTCTCTGAACTAAATGCTCTGTCTAAAATAATTTCCTTTATGAAGTTATCCTTCAAAGCATTGAGATTGTAGGTTCTATCTGTGCCCATAATTCCAGCAACTTGTTTATCACGGGTTGTTGTCAACACTGCACTACCTATGCCACCATGCTGAAGACAGACCTTCAGCCTTTCCCACTTATGGACCTCTCTGTTCCAGACATCATCCAATACAAGGAGATACCTCTGCCCGCTGACCAGTTTTTGAAGTCTATCCAGTGCTGGTTTGTCTGTGTCATCATTTTTCTTGGGGGATGCTTCAACTATACTCTTAGCCACCGAATTCACATCGAAGATATCAGAGACGCAGACCCAGAGCTTCAACGGAAAATGCTTCTGAATTTCAGGTTCATTGTATATGAGTTGCGCTAATGTGGTCTTGCCAAGGCCCCCCATTCCAACAATGGGAACCACTGCGAGATCTGCATTGCTAGCTTCACCAAGTAGTATGTCAACAATATTATTCTTATCTTCATGTCTGGATCTGCTGGCAATTTCTTGCGGGTCGATGATGACATAATCTGTCTGTCTCCACTCCTTGGACACTGGTGTCTGCCTCAACTGATTGGACACCAAGAACGTCTGCCTCAACCCAAAGTCATGCATCTCCGCAATGAGAACATTGATATCCTCCAGAATCTTGCAAAGCTTGCTACCCATTCTGTGACGAAACACAACACGGTTGTGAGTAGGGAAGAGTTTTATCACATCGAATCCAAGTTTTTTGTAGTGTCCATTCTTCTTCGCTTCACGGCGGAGCGCCTCATACTTGAACTCATCAAAGACTTCATTTGCCTCATAGGCCACTGTCTTGAGCTCCTGGAGCCAGGCTTTAGCTCCTTCTCTGTGTGATGCGGCCTGCTCCTCGGCGTTTGTAATGACGTCGAGGATGATAGGAAGCCTGCGTTTGAGAATCCTGTGCTGCTTCTCCATTCCCTCCATCACATTGTACTGGTCGAGGAGGTAGCTGGACGCCTTGTCCCTGAGCATGGCCACCAGTGGCCGGATCGCCATGGTGACCACCAGCTCCGCCATTGGAATCCTCACGCACAACACAAGTGCACTGCAGAATTAATGTAGAAGACAATGATGTGAGCAAGACATGTGTATATGATTAGGATCTGTTCTTGAACGAGTCAAGAGAAAAATCCACTCTTGCTTGAATGAATCACAAGCAAAATCCAATTTTTCTTAAACGAACGAAAAGTAAAATTCAGTCTTGCAGACATAGTTACCTGATTCGTTGGAACAGCGTACGAACAGGGGCCTTCACGAGCGCTCGCCCAGCTCGTCCTCACCAGCAGGTGGACGCTGAGTAGCTCTGCGCTGTAGCGGCGGCGGCGGCAGCAGCCACAGAGCCTGGTCGGCACCAGCAACGACGGCGTCAGGTCTGGGGAAGCTGTGGCGGCGTGGATGTGTGGGAGTTGTGAGAAATTTGGAAGACCTGGAGGCAGCGAAGCTTGGGAATAGGTGGGAACATGATTCGGGGGAGCACATTCAGGAGACGCCATGATGGGGAATTCGGTGGAGACGTGCCGTCGCTGTGGATTCAATTCTCCTTTCGGAAAAGACGATGCTGTGGGGATTGCCTGTTGGCAACGAAATCAGTTTTCTTGACGACAGAGGAGACATGGTGTTGGAAAAAGAGGATGCCGATGGATGAGTGGAGGGCTTTATTGCTCCACGCACTCACATGTGAAGAGTGGAGAAGAGAATGCAGTGAGCATGAATAGTAAGAGTTCTTGAGCTCTCCAATATACAACGGTTGTATACAGCCTGAGATCTGTTCTCGAACCAATCACATTAACAATATCTAATCTTGCCATTAGCGATGCAGGCTTTAATAAAGTAATCAAAATGGCCACACCGAGGCGCCGACAGCCATCTTAGACAGGAAGGAAGATAATTTGTTTCAGATACGTTTGGTGCATCACTTGAGTAGTCACATGCTTGTCACCCAATACAAGGGGGCAAAAAGTGATTCCCTTTTCATTTTTGTCAGTCATGACACGGGGTTCACGGCCATGACATTTGTTTTGTGCATTACAAGTGTGTTACCAATGCCATGCCATCAGCATCAGCACCCAGTTGGTCACACTTATTTACAAGTTTTGTGCTGTAAACCTATTGCATCATTTGTTTCCTCTTATCATCAAGGGTTCCATCCATTTGGATTTCATCCCTACATTCTCTTTTTTTTCCGCTCTAAAGTGTACTGAATATATTTTACCTGAATGTTTAGAGTATACAACGGTTGTGTACGTACAGCCTGAGATCTGTTCTCGAGCCAATCACAAGAACAATATCTAACCTGGTCATTAGCGACACAGGCACCGACAGCCGTTTAAGGCTGCGTGCGCTGCCATTACATAATGTCCACTTGCAGCTAGGAAGATAATTTTATTTCCGATACTACGTTCAATGCATATCACATGGGCAGTCACATGCTTCTCACCCAATACGAGGAAGAAAAGTGATTCATTTTGCACTCTCGTCAGGCATGGCATTTGGTTATATGGATTGAAAAGTGTGCTACCACAGTTTCTTTTATGCATTGCAAAGAGTGTGCTAAAACAGAAGCATGTGACTAAAACTATAGTGACGTTAGAAGATAAATTGTATTGATCACTGCCTATGGCCATATAAGAGAGGTCTTGCACTCGGTTCGCTCCAACAAGCCTAGAGAAAGCACATTTGCTCCGATGCACATATGAAATGTGACAGTGTAAAACAAAAGAAACACCGAGATTATACAGATGATCGGATGATGTAACTTACTTGGATATCACTCCAGTACACCTAGCAGATGAACTTTCTAGGAGAGTTCTCCTCGGACATCAAACAACCGTAGAAACAGTTAGGATTAAATGTATAATTTTAATCTGTTGACACATCAAACAAAAGTAGAAATAGTTAGCAATAGCACTGATGAGATTATATGCAGTATCATTTAATCGGAAAGCAATAGTTCTCATGAGATCAGACAGCCATACACAGTGCCCAAATAAACAAGGTGGTTAGCATAAATGATGCAGGTTTTAAATTAATCAAATGGCTAAACCGAGGCACCAACAGCCATATGAAAAATGTGCACTCCAATAACAAAACGTCCACTTGCAGCCATATAAATGAGGACTGTGACTCCGTCCACTCCAGCACGTAGAAAGCACATTTCCTCCGATGCACATATGAAATGTGACGGTACAAAACAGAAGAAATGCTGAGATATAGGGATGATTGGATGCTGTGACTAACTTGGATATCGCTCCAGTCCACCGAGTGGATGAACTTTCTTCTTGGACATCAGAGAGAAATTGAATTTCCACACCAATTGCCTCCCCTGCACCTGTATATAACGCATAGGAGGAAAAATTGATGATTACTTGAACTGATGTGCACATAGAGCATAGAGTTATTCAGCTAGCAAAGCACAGACATACATCACTGTCAGGCTACACAGCTGAATTCTGCTTCTTGACGCTCCTGATCCACAGATCTGGCACGTAGATGGGTGTGCGTCTTAAGTCCTGTGAATCGGATCATAGAAGAGACGGACAAAACAGGATTGATAACTTATGTTGACGGGAAGGGCGGACTGGATGCCGTCAGTGTACAGCTTGCGCCGGCCAGTTGGTTGGTGCACTGCCCCTCTCTCTAAATGTGAGCTGAAAATTCAAACACCTCATTAAGTGTGCATTTTGATACACTAAAGTGCATATCAGCAGGAAAAGTACAATTTGATATTCAAACACCTCATTAAAAATACATTTTGATATTCAGAATTAGCACAAATTAGGCAGCGCAGCAACATATTTGTTCCACAGATTAGCACAGTCCTCATGCCGAGACCAACACAGCCCAAATTGCCCACAAAAAATTACTACACGGATTAGCAGAATCTTCAGGATTAACACATTCATAAATTAGCATAATTTTGGGTATTAAGCAATAAATCACTGACTAGTCCATTCTCATGCTTTTGATTTGAACAAGGCATCAATAATAACATCATAAGAACCAATCAGACTGAATTGAACTTGTTCTTTACAACTAGTCCTTAAAGCATAAGATTGGTTCTTATGATTTTTTTTAGTCCTTAAACTTACTAGTCCTTAAACTTACTAGTCCTATTTTAGGATAAGATTTTTTTTTGATGATTCTTTTCTGTAGCCCTTAAAATCAATTATAACCAAGTGCATTCCACAGTAAGTTTCCAGCCCCTACCTAGTTGTAAAGAACAAGTTCAATTCAGTCTGATTGGTTCTTATGATGTTATTATTGATGCCTTGTTCAAATCAAAAGCATGAGAATGGACTAGTCAGTGATTTATTGCTTAATACCCAAAATTATGCTAATTTATGAATGTGTTAATCCTGAAGATTCTGCTAATCCGTGTAGTAATTTTTTGTGGGCAATTTGGGCTGTGTTGGTCTCGGCATGAGGACTGTGCTAATCTGTGGAACAAATATGTTGCTGCGCTGCCTAATTTGTGCTAATTCTGAATATCAAAATGCTTGAACTTGTTCTTTACAACTAGGTAGGGGCTGGAAACTTACTGTGGAATGCACTTGGTTATAATTGATTTTAAGGGCTACAGAAAAGAATCATCAAAAAAAAAATCTTATCCTAAAATAGGTTCATCAGGAGATGCTGCGCATTATCATTTAGAAACTAATCTAAGAGAAATGTGGAGCTGGCATACTAATAACAGGTTGTCCAGCCCTTTAGAAATTAGATCAAGAAAATGTGGAATTGACATACTGATTGCTAGGATCATATTTGCAATCTGAAAACTAGGTACACTCGCTCTAACTTGCCCGGTGAAAGCATATGCCCTCTGATGCACATATGAAATACAGTATGACAATATAAACACAAAAACAAAAAGACGGAACGCTGATATAGAGGGATGATTGGACCGGTCGAACTAACTTGGGTATTGCTCCAGTGACCACCAAGCCCTAAGAGCTTTATTCCCCGACATCGGAAAGGGGCAGAACCTCCACGCCGGTTGCTTCCCCTCACCTGCATAGGGACAGTGCGTGTAGGCGTAAATTTGATGATTATTTGAAGTGGCGCGCACATAAATCAGAGTTATTCAGCTAGCAAAGCACAAATGTACATCACTGTCACTCTGTCAGGCTACGCAGCGCAGCTGGCATGGAAATGGGCGCGCCTCTTAAATCCGTGTGAATCGAATCGAATCGAATCGCGGAAGAGACGGACCAGCACCCGACGAGGAGCTCTTGCCGAGACCATCTGCGAGTGCGAGAGGAAGTAAGAAGGGAGGTCAGAAGAGGATA